AGTGAATTTATTTATATAACTTGATGCATCAATTAATATTTCTATCATATAAGAACGTTTGGCTTTTGACACTTGACAAGAAATTTATTGATTTTATGGTGAGTTATTTTTTAGATGATTAAAATAGAAAATAATATTTAGTCTTTAACACAAGAGAGTAATACGAATGAAAAATATATGATAATGTACATCTTATGAAAACAAATAATTAATTACGAAAATTTTATGCTGATCGTTTTATACTTTTAACTGTAAAAGCTGCAATTAGATCAATGTCTATATATGTACTATATGATGTTATAATACCAACTAAATATTGTTTACAGAGTTGAAGAAATGAAGTGTTTGACCAAGTTATTGAAGATTTATGAAAAGACCAAAGTAGAATAGAGAAATTCTAAAATTATCCTTTCTTGAAAAAAAAGGGAAAGATGAAGGTGCAAATTAACTTGAAGAATATCTTCATAGTTTAATTCAAATTGTTATTTTTTGCAGTTCATGTGAGAAAAGTTAATATAGTCATTGCTCCCGATGCAGTCTTCTCAGATGTTCCCCTTTGAATTTCAATGATATTTTTCTTCGATGGATACTACATATAATTCTAATAAAAATCTCGAAAGAATTTGTACGTGGTTATTGTGTGTTTGAAGAGGTCCAGCGATTGACCGCAAAAACTTAGCGTCACGCCCATCTTCTTGTCAGAGTTACGGCTAGTTATAGTTATACGGAAGATATTGGGCTAATAAATCTATCGCAAAATACTTGAAAGTTTAGGGTATTTCTCGTTTCTTTTGATGATAGACATATACAAAACTCGATAGCTTAGTGAAATTTCAATAGAAACCTAAATGTGTTTAGGATTTTTATTAGAATTCTAGGTTATATCTAAGTTTCACCTGAGATGATACAGGTTTGTACAAATAAAAATTTTTAGTAATTGTCATCAAAAAGAAAAGAATGAATTTAGAATTCTTGTAGTTTTTTTTCTAATCTTTTTCATATAACAAAATATCTAATAACTATAGATCAATCTATGTTGATAATTTGTGCTAGCTATTGAAACTTGAATATTAGTATTGATGACTAGAACTATAAGATAGTCGTTTTAATTCCTTTTTAACTTCTAAAATAAATTCAAAAAATAAGAACATTACCCAGGCGAGCAAAGGACGGGTAAAAAGACTAGTCATTTTTCTAGTCGTGACTAGGGTGTGGGTGTGGGTGTGGGTGGGTGGTGTGGGTGGGTGGGGGGTGTGAGTGTGGGGGGGGGGTGTGAGGGTGTGGGTATGGGTGTGGGCGGGTGTGGGTGGGTGTGGGTGTGGGTGTCTCTTTATTCACACTCACACTCACACGCATACCCACACTCACACGTATACCCACACACCCACACTTACACGCATACCCACACACCCACACTCACACGCATACCCACACATCCACACTCACACACATACCCACTCACCCACACTCACACGCATACCCACACACCCACACTCACACACATACCCACACACCCACACTCACACGCATACCCACACACCCACACCCCACACTCCACCCATACACCCACACCTAAGTATTTACGCTAGCAGCTAGTTGATCTCCTTTATGAGTACGTTCTTATACGGTGATCATGGACGAAAGCAGAAAGAAGTACAAATTTAAGTTACTTAATAATTAAAAGTTCAGAAAACATAGAGAAATAAAATATACAGATGAAACATGAACAATTAGAGGAAACAATAAATTTTTATGGCTTCCCCAAATTTATGATAGGAAAAGCAATTGCTAACTCGTTGCTTGCTGGTGCGCCGCCCATGCCAATATGGCTATATCATAATATGAATGATTCCTCTGTATTAATGATGAGTAATACGAGTTCATTGATCATTTTATTTTTTTTGTATTTATTTAAAAAACTTGTAAATATTTCGGACTGATCTTTAGTTCATTATCAACACAAATACAAGTAAAAAGTATACAAAAAATTTTCTATGTATAACTATTCTTTTCTTTTCGTTCTTTTTTCTTTTCTTTGACATTGCAATGCACAAGCTACCGTTTCACTCCCTTGCATTGCAATGTTAAAGAAAAGAAAAGAAAAGTTAGACATAGAAGAATTTTTTGTATATTTTTTACTTGTATTTGTGTTGATAATGGACTGAAGATCAGTCCGAAATATTCACAAGTTTTTTGGAATAAATTCAAAAAAAAAATAAAATGATCAATGAACGCGTATTACTCATCATTAGTCTATTTACATTTATTTCATTGAACGAAGTCCATAATTCTCTATATATACACATACAACGTTATAGTGTAAAAGTTTCAACATGAATTGGGAAAAACAATATACATGAAGGAAAGATGAAACTAGGAGATGTCCAACATATCTGTATATTGACTATAATGGAAAACTCTATGAGTCACTACTAGAGGTGTAAGTCGAAGGCTCGAACGGCGGCTAATATACTTTATGTTTTTCTGCACCGGCGGCTTTGACAACCAATAAAAAAAACGTTTTTGCTTCTAAAAGACAAGAAAATGACCAATCGCATATGTATCGATGTCGACGGCGACGACGCATCATACTATTATCGAAAATTTTTATTCGTGGCGGCGGCGCAACGGCTGAGCTAACTTTTTCAAAGCGGCGGCGGCGCAGCTAGATGGCTTACACCTCTAGTCACTACATCACATGTTCGTTCTCTTTCATTCTGCCGAGTATTTTTCTAGTGTATTCTCTTTAGTTTTTCCTGTTTTTTTCTTTCTTGCTTGGGTGTGATAATTCATGTATTTTTGTAACTGTATTATGTTATCTATTCGTATATTCCAACTTGCTTCTGATGTCTGATATAAATACCTCTCGTTTCTATGTAATGTCAGAAGAATGATTAGAGAAACTAGAGACATTAACTGATTCAAACTCAATAAAGCAATTTGTACACACAACAACATATATCGAACATAACATAATCTTTTTATTAAAATTTATAGACTAAAATCCTTTCTTTTAGACTTCAATGATGAATCAAACTTCAACTAATCCATCAAATGATATGATAGCAACCCAACCTCAACAAACAGTTGATAGCGATCTAATATTAAATCAAATGATTGCTTCATTATCAATCAACAATCCTGAACAACAACAACGTACTGATGTTCAACGAAAACAATTTATTCAAAAACAATTTGTTTTATTATTACATGCACAAAAATGTCAACTACGTGAAAACCAAACTATTAATGATGAAACAACATGTCCAAATAGATGTACATTACCACATTGTAGTACTATGAAAAATGTTTTACAACATATGACAAAATGTAATGATCATAAAACATGTACTATTCCTCATTGTGTTACTTCACGTCAGATTATTTCACATTGGAAACAATGTAATAATTCTCAATGTCCAATATGTCAACCACTTAAAATACCATCAACCTTAGCTCTATTAAATCAAACAACAAATAATAATATTAATGCAACAAATACACCAATAACAATTAATAAAGAATGGCAAAGATGTATTACACAAGAGAGACGTCAACATCTTGTACAAAAAATTATAACAGCACTTATACCAATAACTACTACGGATGCTATTCGTGACATACTTATTATTTATTTAGCTGATTATGCTCGATGTATCGAAAATGAAACGTTTGGAATAGCTGATAGTCATGAAGAATATTTTCATAAATTAGCTGAAAAAATTTATAAATTTCAAAAAGAATTAGAAGATCCTATCAATCAAAACATCGATTTTAATTAATACCAAATAATATAAATGCAGCAATAGCATCAAAAAACTAATCATATAATGAATAAATGAATAATTTATTCAAGAAAAATTTTTTGATTTTATTTCAATAATGAAAAAGAATAAACAGATAATGATAATAATAATAAATGACGAAATTGTTTTTGTCTTTTTTTTTTGTTGTATTGAATTTTCAGTCATATTGTTGCGACCATGTGATGAACAACTACAACGATAATACCCATAGTATTGTAGGACGAATAATACAAATAGGACGTGAATGAGTTTGTTTATGAATATTTGTAATTTCACTAGGTCAGCACGAAATAAGAGTTAATATGTTGAAATAGCAAAAGAAATCGTAATTTATTGTGATTATATGTCTTTCCGTGTTATTGATGTTCTTGTTGCATGTGCTTTGATGTTTTTGTCGTATTGGTACGGAGTATGTTTCATTAGTGCACCGTGAGGGTATGGGTGTTTCTCTTTTCTTTTAGCTGCTCGCATGCAATTTTTTTATTTTTTTCCGAGGAAGAAAATTACATGTGAACATTTTGACGGGTTTTTTTCTTCACCAATCAACATACAGATGTAAAAATATGTGAAGTGTTCATGTCGTGAGTAATAAATTATTGCTAGACACTTGAGAGTGTGGGTGTATATCGATTCCACCACATCTCTTATAAATACTCACATTCAATCGAGAAAAATTTCACTATCATCGATGTAATACCAAAAAAAAGATGTTCTTGACTAATGTAACTACACTTGAATATCATCTGAAGCAATGAGTCATCATTTCGTGTACAGTAAAAGAAACGATCGTGTTCTGTTCTACTACCGTAACGTCGTCGATATTTTTTGTCTGTTTGCGAAAAAAAGAGAAAAAAAACCAAGAAACAACTTTCTTTCGATCATTCTAGTCAGGGATGGCCCGAGTCAACCAACAATGGGGGGGTGTCGCGAAATTTTTTTGCAGTAAAAGGTGGAATTTTTTAATTTTGGGGGGGTGTAACATTATTTTTCATGACAAATGGAAGAAAATTTTTTGATTTTGCTGAGCAAAAAATAGAATTTTTCTAAGATTGGGGGGGTGTTCCACCCCCGACACCCCCCCGGTCGGGCCACCCCTGATTCTAGTAGAGCAGAGTGACGAATACCGTTTTACACGTTTGCGTAACTCAAGAAAATTTCAAAATGAATTCGATTGTCAAGACTTGAATCAAACTGATGAATACTGGATCACAATTTCAATATCAATTTCAACTTGATGTCGATATAAGACGAACACAGCCAAGATCGTTGTTTCAAGCATTTGGAAAATTTATTTACGAGGTTGAATGGATTAGAAGACAAGGTCCATCGATTGTCCTCCTCAAAATTGATGGAGCTAAAGCAAATCGTGAGGCCTCGTTCTATGTTCAATTGAGTTGTCATCTACATATTGTTCGAATATTCGGTCTTGTGGAGAGCAATCCAGATTCATTGATGCTACTACAAGAACGTACACCATTGGGCGATCTTGCTGAATTATTACGTGAGAACAATTTTCGACCGACTGAAAAAGTTTTATTTGAGATATTTGTACAATTATGTGAGGCACTAATCTTTCTTGCTTATAATGGCATTGTACATGGTGATCTTGCATGTGGAAATGTTCTCATCTTTCACCAGAATCCAACTGAACCAATCAATAATTTGGTTAAATTAACCGATTTTGGATTGACTCGAGCAAGTCCAATTTATTCGGTTGTTGATAGTTCATCATCGTCAACCATAACTACAGTACCTGTTCGATATGCAGCACCAGAGATTCTTCAAACGATGGATGGATCGAACTATTCTGAGAAATCTGATGTGTATTCAATGGGTGTTCTGATGTGGGAAGCATGTTCTCAAGGTACATTACCTTATCAGTGGATCGAGAGAGATGAAGATATTCGACGTCGAAAACAAAATAATGAGAGATTACCTCGACCTGCATCATGTAGTCATCAATTATGGACAATCATAAATCAATGCTGGCATCTAAAGCCACAAAATCGTCCCGATTTCCGATTATTAAAACGATCATTGTTAACTCTTCTGTTTGGATCAGTATCTGAGTAAGTCATTCAGACGATAGGCAAGCTAAAAGCCAAACTTTTTCTGTTCAGAATTCCATCAAGACCGATCCACAACACAAGACCGGTAGATGTGGAGTTGTCCACAACAGATCCGACACAACTTTTTTTTCTGTATAATCCGTTTGCATGTGAACCAGGCAGAGAGGCCGAGACGAATGTTCATCAGAATCAGACTGGCCAGATCTTCTGATTTTTCAGAAATTTTCTGATTTTGAACACTTTTCCTGATGGCTTTCTGCTTTCTGATTTTTTTCTGATTTTCCTGACTTTCGTTTCTACCGTTGCAAATGTGCTAGTTCGTTCTCATATGAATACTCGAATTATTACTATTGATCATGGTGGTTAGATCTTCTGAAAAGTCAAAAAAGTTCGTAAAATTTGAACATTTTTCTAATTCTTTTCTGATCCTCTGATTTTTTTGATTTGGTTAGTTTTTTTCTGATTTTTCTGCGAATCTGGACGTTTTTAGATCGTAATTTTGTTAGTAAACTTAAGTACAATTATAACTCACTGCTAGTTCAATATTATGTCATCTTTTGTCTTAATAGTTTGTAGTTTGTGACTTTTACAGCTACTAACGGACACTTTCATGCGCTGGTGAATCTTTATCAAATAGCAGTAGCATACCCAAGGGAGTAACTGTAAAGGCGCTTAGGTCACAGTCTTCTTCTAAAAATTTTATTTCTTTTAGACAGCAAAACGGAAAAAAGTTCTTTTTCAAAGGCGTTTAGCTACTGAATTCATATGAATAGTAGCATTAAACTCCTCTGCATTCGAAATTTTGAGATCTTAGGGATTACGCCCTCTGCTTTGGAGGTTTAGTTACGTTCCTGAGTACGCTGGATCCAGAGAAAATATGTATAAATATCTTTTAACTCAAAGACATTTATCAAAGCAAAATCGAACAAACGAGAAATATGAATAAAAATAACGAATTGATATTATTTAACCTTTTTTTCTTTTTGTAGGAGCTCTGAACATGGATGCTACATATGCGACTTGTTGCTATACCGGTTTTGAGGACAAATTTTGAATATAGTGGAAAACAGTCCGACTCTAAGTGTTCTTTATTATTTCGTATGATCTAAACTATATATTCTTTGTATTGTCTTTCTTTATTGTGAATTATCTTTGAAAATAATGTGTGGGTCATAAATAGAAACCAAAGAGAGCATTTTGTGACGTCATTTTAACGTAATAGACACCAGTTTGCAAAAAAATTACCTTTTCTGATTATTTTCTGATTTTGCCAGAAAAATTTCTGATTTTTAAGTTTTTGATCTGGCCACCCTGGGTACCACACGTCAAAATTTTATAAAAAGCTCCTGAGGGGAGTAGGGGTAACTTTTCGATAATTTTTTCTCTATGGAATATACATGATTAGACTCAGTTTTTGATTCTGATTCCGAATATGATGCTCATTTTCAGTTTTTCTTTGAAAAATTGGGCGAAAATGTGTAAAAACTAGCCAAAAATGCAGTGAATTTTCGTAGAAAATCAATATCTCGGATTCTGTTTCACTACCTGAAGCTTTCTTTTGATCATTATATAGCCTCATCGACCTAGTATCTATTTTAAAAGTTTCACCCTTAATGGTTTGGTTACGCAATAGATATCGATTGTTGAAATTCAGCTACTAGCGACATCTATAACCCGGACCAGAGCTGGGCAAGTACGAGTACGTACTCGTACTCGAGTACGTTTTTTGTGGTACTCGTACTCGAAGGGTTGGTACTCGTACTCGAACTCGTACTTGAAGGGTGGACACTCGTACTCGTACTCGTACTCGAGGGTTTAGTACTCGAAATCCTAAACAACTATGCATCATATGAAAATGATGCTTGATAATATTTCAGTGTACGTTTTTCGACGATGTAGTGAACAGTTGATTTCTTCTTTTTCTATACATATATGTATGCAGATAAATACATAGATACCAGATCATGGTATAGCAACCGGCGTACTCTTTTCTTTATTCTCTTTCACTAGTAATACACTATGTAACAGAGCTGGGCAAAATACTCGAAGTATTCGTACTTGAGTACGGTTTTGGTCGTACTCGTACTCGAGCTTCGAGCACTCGAAATCCTAGATAAGTATAGATTTTAATAAAATTATGCTTGATAAAATTGTAGTTTGTATTTTTCCAGAATGAAATGAATACCTTTTTTCTTCTTTGTGTTCTATACGTATATGTATCTAGAAAAATGCATAGACAGCACACCATGATATAAAAAAAGTCGTACTCTTCTTTTGTTTGTTTCTTTCACTAGCCATACAGAATGTAATTGGTAACTGATTCGTTTCTGTATTGCATATAGTTGTACTTTCATTTCGTCCACGTTACTCATGCTCAGTGAATAAAATAAATTCGCTGCTGTGAAATTACGGCTCAATTAAAATGTGGGTGCCAGTGAAAACAAGACCTACACTCACACAAACACACACACTTGCACCCACACCCTAAAAAACCCTAATAAGAAAATTTTGATTCATGACTCATAATTTTTTGATTGCGAAATTGATGTGTCATTTCTAAATCTACTAATTAAATTTTCTGTAGTGATGTCTTAGGAAACTCTTTCGTACTCGTACTCGTACTCGTACTCGAGGGTTTGGTACTCGTACTCGTACTCGTACTCGAGGGTTCGGTACTCGTACTCATACTCGTACTCGAAGGTCGGTACTCGTACTCGTACTCGTACTCGAGAAAGTCCGTACTTGCCCAGCTCTGACTCGGACATAAAGCAATATCTAGAGCTCAAGGTTGTTTTGTTTTGTAGGGCTACTCAATTTCTATCTATCCTGAAATTTTTATCATTCTATGTCACCTCAACCAAAAATGGCACACTTCTCAATAGACAAGGGTAGATCAACATCGTGAGTTGAAGAAAAATGGCCTAAAATTAAAAATTGAATTTCTCAGTAACGATTTGACGTATCGAAGTGCGCTTAGTGACAAAAAAGCTCACTAATTGGTACACTTTTCAAATATGTATATGAAATCGAAATTGGGAAAAATCGATTGAGCAGCCTCTATAGTAAAAGGTTGTGGCTTAAGTGAAATGGCTCTTAAGCAAAAACAAAAACGAAGAAAAAGAATGAAATTCACAATAAATTGGGAGATTACTAAAAGTGATACTATTTTTCTTAGTCGATTTTTCATTTATTCTATTTTATTGAGAAAAAAAATAAGTTATAGTATTTTCTGAATAATCTATCATAAGATGAATTATGAAAACTATTTGGTTGGAGGAGAGCGTTTTTTTCTGAAACATATTAAAAAATTCAGAAAATTAAATATCTCGTTTATTTTTGGTCTTCACAAGAATCTCCCTAACTAACAATGAAGGATTTTTTTTTCGTCTTTCCTAAACAATATTCATCTTACTGTCAATGGTTTTGATAAGAAATTATTTATCAAGTGAATCATTTTTCATCATAGCGTAAGTATTCTTCTATGTAAGGTATTGCTCTTGCGTGTTACTCAATATTTTTCTATTTCTCGATTATTTTACATTTTTCTTTTTGCTAATACTAATGTTACACAGGTGTCTTTAATTTTCTAATAGCGATGAAATGAGAAAAAGGGTTTCCTTTTTCTTTTCTGTAGAATTATTCTCGGTATTGCCGCTACTTTTTGTATAAACCAAAATATATTCATTGTAATGTTTTCCATTAGTTTTTATGAATCTTCTAACAATGAATTTAACCGTTATATTATTTTGTTTAGACGCTTCCAATTATTTATTCACACAAGTGTACGTCATCATACGAGAAATCTGAATTATGTTGCCCAATAGACGTTTTTTCGATTTCGTCATTGCCTCATATATAAAATGATCCTTAACTTTATCATAATGCAGGAATCTAATTTATGTTGCTCTTCTTTTAAATTTATAATTATTCGTAGTTATTTTAAACAGAAGTAGAAGAAAATGACTAGTTATTGTCTTTCTTTTACTTCACTCATCCGATACTTGCCAAAAATTTTAAAGAAGAAACAAAAAAAAAAAATGCTCTTTTTTTCCAAAAGACTTTCAAGTTTTTCTCGTCATTTTTCTTCTCCGCAGACGTGAACAAAGAAGCCGAGCAAACTATTTTAGTTTACTATTTTCCTTCTTATGTTGATAGCTGCTGAAGCTTACAAAGGAGTGGCAACAGACAGAAAAAAAAGATTTCTTTTTCCAAGAAATTGTTTTAAGTTTTGCTGACTGCATTTCCCTGAAAAAGGTAAACAGAGAAACGGAGAAATGCAACGCGCTTTGCTTTTTTTTCACTTATGCGGATGCCTGTTGAACATTCTTTATAAGGAGGTGGATGAGAAATAATGATTTCCCTTTGCCTTGTGAATATTTCAAGTTTTGTTTGTCATTTTTTTTTGACAACAAGCTGAAAGCTGAATTTTGTTTCGTTTTCTCTAAAGTGTACAGATAGATATCATTCTGTACCATTGCCATAGCAATATTCACCCACCATAATGTAGCTAGATCTCTCGGTATTCTTTGGATACGATCGTCTGATTTTTATCTTTGAAGCAAAATTTCATTGAAACTTTTTTGAATATAGACACGGAGTAAGTGAATATTATTGATAAGTGTTATTTTTCGTATCATGAAACAAATTCTATATGTCGAAAAGTAAAACAATACATATAAATAGTTACATCGATAGTTGTCAGTTGCCAAACAGAAAAATAATAAGAAAAGTGAACCGAGTTTAATAAAGTAATATATGCTAATCAATACAGAGCGGCTTTCAAAGCTAATCAGTTTAAATATTAAAAGTTTTTGTCAACGAGTAAAATACACAGGTATGCACCACCTCAAGTATTAAAACGACAGAGGGTAGGTGTGGGTGAGTGTTGCTGTGCGTGTGTGGGTGTGTGGGTGTGGGTGTGGATGGATGTGGGTGTCGGTGTGTCCCTTTTAATCGCACCGACATCCACACCTTCACCCCGCACCCACACTCACACTCACACCC